GAGGGCCTCGCCCTCTGACAGTGCTGGGGAGCCAAAATGGCTCATGTTCCCATCCTGAGACCTATGGAAGGGAACTAAGCTTTTTTCCAGAAACAGTGGAATGATCCCTCCTGAGCCCTTGGCTTTCTGTCTTTGTCTTTGTCTGACTACCCTTCTCAGGATTCAGGATTTTCAGTCTGTGTTTCCATGTTTCTGTATCATGTCTATCTTGTCTCTTCTCTCTCTCACTGCCCTCCCACCCCAACTCTGTCTCAGATCATTTCTTGGGGACTCTGCCTTGCGGCTCCCGCTCTCCAGTATGTAGGAAACCTGACCTTCTTCATCTGTTTTTTATATTTTGGAAACGTCAGCTTCACTTCCTACCTGAGGGAGGTGGGGGCAGGGAGCAGCCTGCCTGGCTCCACCTCTTTCCCTTCCTCCTCCTTTTCAGCATCAGGCCCTTCCCTTCAGCCCTTTGCCTCAGGGACCACAGTCTAGGCCTTCCCTGCTGGAGGAAGGGGAGGTCCGAGGGGCACCAGAATTCAGGCCCTGATTCCTGGTCTTCCTCCCCCCAACCCTCCCCTCACAAGGTGTGTGGGAGGCTACTTCTGATCAAACCTGGTTTGCTGATTCGGGAAAGACATAAAAATTCCAGGCACAGAAAAAGCCCAGAAGCTGAGAGATTTCACCAGTGGAAACAAGGATGGAAAGTTGTTAAAGTCATTGCTGCCTCCAGGCAAAGTGACAGCCAAGTAAGTTGTTTAACATGTCGTCACAGATGTTTATTTGTTTAACATCATCATTAATACTAGCAATAGCTTACATATTGAGGGTTTATCCTGTGCCAGGCACTTTATATGTTTTTGCATTTCATCCACTCAAACAGTTTTATGTGGTAGATACTCTTATCTACCATTTCTTAATGAGGAAGCAAAAACACAGACAGGTTAATTAACTTGCCCAAAGTAGCTCAACTAATAAGATACGAACCCTAAATTTTGTCATTCCAAGACCTAAGTTCTTAAGATTTCTAAGATGTTCTAAGATTTCTCAAAAATATATTTTTTTATATTTCCTTTTCAAGGAAAATAAAGTCCCAGGAACTTACAGGCTGGAGTTGGAGAGATATCATCTCTAACTTACTTCTTTCCCTAGCAAGGATTAGGTGTAAAGGCAGGAAGAAGGATTTCAGGAAGGAAGAACTAGCAGGGCAACATAGGAAAAGCCAATGAGGTCTGCAAGTTAGACAACAGTCAGGTACAGTCAGGTAAAGGCTGAGGGGCTCTGGCTCTAGGCAGTGAAATGCAAAGAACTGGGCTAGATGGAGGGCTGGGACCAGCTCACAGAGGCCTGAAGCCCAGTTCAGTTTATCCCTCAGAATTAGTGCCAAGAGAGTAATACTCCAAAAAAAGTTTGAATCTGGGCCGGAAGAAAAAGGTAGACAATAAAGAGGGCTGTTGAGAGCTGGAACCGCCCTCCTGGCAGCCCAGGGTAGGCTGACAGAACAGGCAGAAAGGGCGTATCTACGAGATATTTCCAAAGAAATTCAGCAATCTGGAGTCTGAGCCATCTGCCTCCTTCCCAAGGATTGCTGTCCAAATTAGTGTTTGGGTGGGGTGGGGGCGTGGTAGGAAGAGGGAGGAGCCGAAAAGCCCCAGGAGTGTGAAGTACTGAACATCCATTCTCCTGGCAGCCACTGTGGTGTGTGTCTTCTGTGGCTGTGTAAGCCAGAGGACTCTAGAGTGAAGATAGCCCTGCCACTGAGCCAGACGGGGGCTGACGATGCCAGCCTGAGAGCCAGACTGGAGATCTGGACACTGCCGCAACAGTTGTGTGTCTTCTTCAATTCTTTGATATGATTTTACTCCCTGGGTGGCAATAAATAAATAAATAAAAGCAAATATGGAAAACTGGTTTAGACCTCAAGAACTGCTAATTCAGATAGTCTAACTTGTTCAAAAAGTTCAACCTCTTGCTTTCAAAGTCCCCAAAACCCATTTCCATCTCAAATAGTATATGTCAGTGTGTGAGAGAGCTGATGAGGGAGACAGCAAGTGAGAGAAGGGGAGGGTTGAGACGCTTTTGTTCCTGTGTGAGGCCTCTGCTCCCCGGGCATATGTGTATGCATCCTATGCGTCTTTGTGCCTGTTTCTCAGGTCTCTATATACATCGAACTGCAAACCATAACAGAAATCCTGAAAGTTGGCAAAGATATCACAGGAGTAATTATCTAATTTCAGAACATGTTATTATAATACCTACATGATGTGTAATGAACTTAACAATGTGCACGTTATATTCACCAATGCTGAGTTACAGACCCTAATGCCAAGTCCTACCTCAGAGACTTCTTCAACACTGGACAGCAGAGCAGGCCCCAAAGAAAGCTCTTCAAGAAATACCCCCTCCCCTACACACACACACACACACACACACACACACACCATGGCTTCCTCATGGGTTGGGAGTTGGGGCTTGGAAGCTAGGAAAGAGCTGGAAGGGGGCAGAGCAGATCCTGGGGTGACTACCCCATTGCCCCTGTTCTTCCCCAGAGTGGAGTCTCTGTAACTGGCATGGAAACAGTCATACTGAGGTCACAGAAGGAGATGGGCTGTTCCTGACTCTGCTGGACCAGGGGGCCCAAATGATCAGCCCAGCTCCCTTCCCAGGGTGGATTGAAGCTGAGTGTGAGGAGAGTGTTTGCTGTTTGCTGCTGCTCCCTGTTGACTTTAGCCAGTAGCTCTGTTTACAAACCCAGGTTGGTTTTCCCAGCACAGTTAATTAGACCAAAGACATCTGGTGTGAGGGCTGGGGAGGGCATCTGCTCAGAGCCTCCTCGTCACCACCACCCCCCCGCCCCCCAGCAGCCATGGGCCAGTGCAGGGCAGAGCAGCTAAATAGGACCAGACCACACTCCATCAAACCCAAAGTTCTCAGGAGAACCGTGGCTCTCCAAACTGCCTTTCCCAAGCGTGCTAAGTTAGATTGGGCCTTAAGGGACCCCACCCCCAAGAGTCAGGGCTGACTCCCCTACCTCAGTGTGACCACAGACTAGAGAACAAGGACTCAATCCTCTTCTCAGACCTTCCAAGGTCAAAAAGACGGGAGCAGAGATCCCTGCCCTCTCTCATCAGTCATTCTGCATTCTGCAGGAATACCAGACCTTTTCAATAGGAAAATCACCCCTCTCTGATCAACTTAAAAAAGGGGGTTCCAGGTCAGCATCCTCCCACCCGACTCCTCCCCAGCCAATCTGACACTGAGGGGAGAAGAGAGTAAGCCGCTAACCATCAGAGAGAGTAGGAAGGTGCCCAGGAAGGAGGGAGGATTTAGGTGGACAGTTCCAGGGCAGTGGGGAAGCGAAGGGCTGAGAGGGGGAGGTGCAGCGGCTTATCTCTCTCAGGAGGGGGGAGCTCACTCCAAACAGCTAATGCACTGGCGTGTGAAAGCCCCTCAATTAGCACTAATGATGCAATCAGGGAGGGAGGAGGAGGGACCAGAAGTTCTGGCGGAGTCAGCACCAACTTACTTACGCGGTACACACTCCCTCGGTTATACCGGCCCCTTCAGATACTCTGCAGCACACACGCCACACCCTATCTGAGCCACGCACATCCGTGGGCACAAACGCGCTCTCAGCGCAAACTACGGTGAGCATATGGTTCTTGATCCGCGGCTGACCGCGTCAAACTGTAGGGATGGGGGAGGGGCTCCATTTTGAGCTCAGGGACAAGGAAAATCAGACTTGGTTAAAGAAACTGAACCCGATGATGATTCTTCAGATCCCAGAGTTCCCGTCCCACGCACGCTCGCAGGTGCCAACCACACACCGCGGCACCCGCCCCCCCTCCCGGGTTGAGCGAGGAGCAGCTACGCCCGGCCTCACCCTAGCAGCAAGACTCTGGAGCCTCCTCTCAGTCCACCCGTCCCCAGGCCCCCTAGTTCCAGGCAGTGTGCTCTGGGGTCACACAGATCCCCAACCCCGACCCATCTGCTCGACCCTAAGGAGCCCGTTACCCGCCAGCTTCGCCCCTTTATGTTGCTGCCCCACCCCGCGGGATGGCTCCGTTATCCGCCTCTCCGTCCCGTTATCCGTAGCCCCCGCCCCGTTATCTGCCCTAGAGCTGGGCCGGGAGGCCCGCGCGTCGCGGGGCCGCCGCGGCACCCTCCCCTTCGCCCTCCCCCTCTCCCGG